AGCTTCTCATAAAAATACAATCGCCGTTTGGAGTCAGCGTAAAACTGTATCAAATCGGAGGAGAAGCTCGGTTAAACACTAACATATGTGTAACCGCCAATCTATTAATATATTATTATAATAGCAAATAATATTGAATATGAGGGTTTTGACCCAGATCGGTATGAGTTGCAAAAAGGTATTAATTACATTTGTAAAAAATTTGCATTGTTTTGGCAATGATCCAAACGCCAAAAACCGGAATTTTTGAAAAATCTNTACATTTGTAAAAAATTTGCATTGTTTTGGCAATGATCCAAACGCCAAAAACCGGAATTTTTGAAAAATCTTTATAATTGGCTCGAAAAGAAAGGAATCATTTCATTAAAATGTCAACCAACAGCTTCCACCAATTCAAATCGTGGCACCTGAAAATAGATTTTGTTGAGTCTTCAAAAAGACTAAGCGTCGATGAACATATCGGGATAAAATTTTTACTCTTAGGTCTGTTAAGAGTAAAAACTGTAATATGTAAAGGTGGGCGGGGTTGGACACGCCCACATACAGTCATGTGAAAAATAATATTGACACGACATTGTGACCAGTTTCCGTTTTTTTTTTTTGTTCGTTTAATGTTTATTTTTTTATAAAAATACAACTCATTGTCTAACAAGAACCAAATTTCAAACTTTGTAAAAAAATAGAAAAATTCAACAAAATTTTGAAAAAACACCAAACTGATTAAATAAGAACTTTTAGAAAAAAGTTATGTATGCAGTTTTATAGCCCACTGAATTCTACCTCAAGAAAGTGCAAGTTTTAAGTGGCTAAGAAATCGCTTTGATTTTGATAATTTTTTTCCTGACGGTGTCACGCATTTTCTTCCATTCAAAGTATGTTTGACAATTTTTTTTTATGGAAGCAAATAGTAACACCATCCGCTAAAAAAAAAAAAAACAATTATCAACAATCAATGCAAATTTTTAGCCACTTCAAACTTGCAATTTTTTCAGATAGTTTTTTTCTAAAAGCTTCTAAAAGTTTTTGTTGTTTTAAAATTTTGTTGAATATTTCTACTTTTTTTACAAAGTTTGAAATTTGGACTTATGTGGTTTTTGTTAGATAGTGAGTTGTATTTTTATAAAAAAAAATAAACATTAAACAAATAAAAAAAACAAAAATAGCCGAAACTGGTCGCAATGTCGTGTCCTTTTTATTTTTCACATGACTGTATGTGGGCGTGTCAAACCCCGCCCACTTTTACATATTACAGTTTTTACTCTTAACAGACCTTAGGGTAAAATTTTTATCCCGATATGTCCATTAAAAGTATTTTTGGCCGCTCTCCCCATATAAATGCAACCACTGTGCAGTGGTTGAATTTTAGTACTTAAAGGGTTAGTATAATCTACGTCTGCGAGGCGTATACGGAATGGGTCTTTTTTTAATGTTTATTGCGTTTCGGATTAAGATTAATACCAGATATTGTGAATGGTTGGACTATACCTTAAAGATGACGGTTTTCTCATGGCCCGCTGCACGAAGCTTTAAGTAAAGTAATGTCTTTTAAGAACTTAAAAATTATCCTGGCATATCAGGTGTCTAGCAATACAAGATTAATTGTTGTCGTTCACGAAGTTCTATAAATAAATTTTGAGCTAAGTACTCACCCGTATTTCGAGGTTACTACTAGTTTTAATAAATTGTTATTTTAGTTTCCTATAAAATTTACCTTTAGGTTTATGCATTTTAAGAATACATCGAAAATTTGTTTTAGAGAATCAATGTGAAATAATTGCAGAAACGATTAACCGGTTTGCTGAGAACCGAGACGTCTGCTTTTTAAATAATTTTTGTAAAACAAATTGGCTAGTACATATCGTCCCCCGCATGCCAGAAACATGAATGTGTAAAGATGAACATATTGGGATTTTTTTATGTCAGGCCCCGCCTAAATTTGATCATGGCGACGCCCATGATCGAGCACGCGCACTCGGATGCATTCAACGGTCAGGTAGCGTGCAGCTGCTATGTTGTGTCCTGTTCTATCACACGGACCTCGGACGCTCTACTTTATCTCTCGCACCTATTTTTTGCAGGCAAGCCTACATATATGATTTGTTTTGCAATAAAAATATCTTACCTATGATATCAATTTCGTTTGGTTAACAGATCGATGTATTTACCTATATTGACTTACCAGTTCACATCTACCTGCCAAGTAGCCATGCACAGAAATAAGTAGGCATATTCTGTGTTTTAAAAACTATCAATTGAGATAATACTCATTTGGTTATCACAAGAGTAAAGGTGATGAAAGGAAATTGATTAAAATTAATTAAATTAAAAATAGCTACATATGAACACTTTTCGATAGGCAAGTTATCATAGGCATATTTGTTTATAAATTATATTTGATAAAAATATGTCTCATCGAGTTATCAGATCGTTGAAGGTCGATCTCCCACCGGCTCTTAGACTATATACTGATACTATCTGTTCAATGTGCCTTGGCTCGTATATTTATTTCTTCAAGAAAATTTAAAGCAAAAGCAAAGTGCTTTTTCAAGCAACAGAAATAATAAAAAATATTTCTTGTGATTTTTCTTGAGAGATGGATTCTAAGCTTTAAGATACAGTTTGTATTTGAGGCTATTAGCTTTAGGGGGGTTTGAACCACAAAACCCACCCCTTGTGTGCGCTGATGTATGTATGTATGTAATTTGATAATATTACTTACTCGAACATCTATCATTTTCTTCGCCTCAAACGCACAAACCTTAATCACTTGCCATTGAATCGCAAATTTACTCTTTTCTTGCTCTAATAAATATTTTTGTTTTCGTCAATCATAATTAAAGGGAACATTTTAATTCGTTCAATTAAGCAGAGCCTGAAATCCACATTTAATAAACTTAACTGATTACTTTTAAACCTTCTAGACAACTTCTCGTTTACGCCCTAGGGAGAGAAAAGATGGCAAAAATGTTGGTAAATAAATTCAAGACTTGTTTATTTTTTGTGTATAAATTCGGTAATCAAAAATAAATTATGCTCACCCTCTCCTCAGACTCCCAATGTTTGTGCGTATGAGCACTTAAATACATCTGTATTTCACAAAGATATATGATATACAACCAATTTAATAGAATTGTAGGTATTAAGTATGTATGTATTAGGGCATTCAATCCCGGGATCCAGAATAGAATTTACGGAATAAAAGAGATGTTGAAAACGAAAAAATTAATTCATTTAACATGAAAAACGAGATATACAGAACACCAAAAATTTGATCAAAGTGAAGTTGAGCCATTTGCACTCGGACGTGAATTTCAGAACCTGCCTGAATAACTGTACTTGTTCAAACATTTTGTGCAACAACTGTGTAATAACGAAAAATCTGGTAGAAATTGAAAACACAACAAGATTTTACAGTGTAGAAGGGTTGTTCCTCATTTTATTTTGTTGGCGTTTTGTGGAAAATGAATTTCTGAAGATATTAGTCAGAGGTTTTTACAATTAATATAGATAATTAAGAATACTATAAAAATATTTAGTCATTAAATTACGGACTCTTTTACTAAGGTGCATTATGCTCCCTGTAAGACCAAAAAGGGTGACAATGAATCTGTGTGGTTTAAAAAAGGCGAACCTACTGTTACATGCAAAAGTTGTGATGAAGTCGAAATCCTGAAAAATCCCGGGATCCCGGAATTAGAACTTTTTGCATCCCGAAATCCCGGGATTGTTAAGATTCTTCGGGATTGAAGGCCCTAGTATGTATACATGAATGTATGTGTCAATGTATTATCTAAGTATGTATGCATGTATGTAAAATTAGTACCGCTTAGAAGCTCAACTGGCACAGCAACGCCGTCCCGCGCTCAATCCAATGTGATAAATCTGTTTCCGGATTACATTCCAGAAGCATTGCCACAACAAAATTCGTACTATGACCTGTGGTGGAGAGCACACCGCGACGTTCCGCTGTCTTGTATAACGGACAAATGTAGACGTGTCGTTCTTTGAGATCACTACGCTTTACAGGTTTCATCCAAATCACTGGCATGTGATCAAATAACTCGCGCGGGCGTGATTCTGCTAACCAATTACCTACGCGATCCCAACATGCACCTTCCAGAAATACCCCATACACATAGACGCCATCAGCTGGGGCAGCCACGCCTTTAGTTTGGTCCTCCTCCATGTGCAAAACTTCGTAGTCGAAAACCAACAGATCGATTGGTATAACGTACTTGCGTGCAAAATTCTGTTGCGCACCGGTGAGAAATGCTTGAGTGAAGAAGAATCCGGAAAGCCAAAATGTCGTAGGTGGGCCGTTATCGAACCATTTCTAGAAATAAAAGTAAAAATTAGAGATAGGTACAAGAATATATGGGCAAATCTAAAAAATAGGTACACTTTAAAAAAAAAATTTAATTTTTAAATTTGTGAGCACACCTATGTTTTATATATAATTTTATTCGTAATCTCTTAATAAATCGATTAATATAAGTGTAATTCATTTTCATCAAGTTCCCCAAAAGTTAAGAATAAGCTGGGTGCAAATTACGCTGTTCAAGTTGTAAACTTTGAGCAAAGATTTGGAAAGCTGAACTCACTTAACTGGGACATTCTAAATTCAATGGCATGCCCCGTTTTACCAGATTGGCTCCGGTTTAAGAGATAACGGTACTTGAAAATATGATTAAATTTTAACTATTTTGTAAATATCTCCCTCAGTTTTGAAGTTATTTTACTAAAATTTTGCACATAACAGATTTTTAATATTACTTTAATTACTCCTTAAAATTATCTAAATAGGTTCACATTAACATATAGCTCCAATACAACTAAGATATGTGTTTTACCTGAATAATAAATTGTATGCGTGCTATATGTTAAATTGAACCTATACTAAATTTTACCCTTTTTAATTGGAGGAGTTATAACGCAAAACAACGTCTCTGATCAATCAGTTTTATGGAAGCTAGATGTTTTAGTGAACCGATTTCGATGATTTTATGGAAAAGTTAAGATAATATTGAAAAACGGTTATGTGAAATATTTTAGTAAAATATCTTCAAAATTCAGGGACTTTTTGAAGTGAAACTTCTTTAGCGGCGGTTGGTTGGTTGGGAGTAAATTGGCAAATTCAACGGAAATTGCACACGGAAATGATGCAACGGAAATATTGCCACGGAAATGGTGCACCGGAAATGGTTGGGGCTGAAACAAGTACTTCTTGTGTGTATGCATATGGTATTAATTTAACAAAAATTTGCTAATAAAAGGTTAAAGAATAACACTTAGCAAAAGACCAATACAAGAATGAAAGTAAAGATGACTACGCACATGGATAAAGGCAAAGGTAAAAATAAAAACAAAAACAAAGATGTGTAAAGATAAAGGCAAAAATGAAGACCAAGATAAATTGAAACACTTTACTTATATAGAATATGTAGATGAAGAAAATGATAAACATAAAAGTAAAGACAAGGAGGAGGATGAGGATACTGATAAAAATAAAGATGAAGATAGGGGAAGAAAGATTAAAATAAAGGTAATTAAAGAGGAAAGGATATCGGGAGAGACACAGAGACTCAATCTAGCAAGTATTTTGAGATTTTCGGTATTCTGGGGACTTATGGATAAAATAATTTTTTTATCGAAATTTTTATCAATTTTGCTATCGATATTTTCGGAACTTATCGATATAATATCGATTTTGTTATTGATTTTGTTATCGATATTTATCGATTTTGTTATAGATATTTATCGATTTTGTTATCGATATTTACCCACTCTGTTGTGGATATTTGTATCGATTTTGTTATGGATATTTTTATCGATTTTGTTATGGATATTTTTATAGATTTTGTTATGGATATTTTTATCGATATTTTTATGGATATTTTTATCGATTTTATTATCGATTTTTTTATCGATTTTGTTATCGGTATTTTTATCAATATTTATCGATTTTGTTATCAATATTTATTGTTATGGATATTTATCAATTTTGTTATGAATAATTTTATTGATTTTGTTATCGATATTTTTATCGATTTGGTTATAGATATTTTTATAGATATTTTTAATAATATTTTTATCGATTTTGTCATGGCTATGTTTATCAATATTTTTATCGAGTTTCTAATAGATTTTGCTACCAATTTTATTGTCGTTTTTTCTATCGAACTTTTTATAGAATTTGTCATTGATTTTGTTATCGATATTTTTATGGGTTTTTTATCGATATTTTGTTGGATGTTACTATCGATTTTGTTATCGATAGAGTATCAAGATAAAAATGGAGATAAAGGAAAACAGAGTAACATAAATGTTATTAAAACGAACAGTGGTAGAAGTAGGGATCTAGATAGTAAAAAGACAAAAAATATAATATAAGCAAAAGCAGATGTATGTATGTTTGTACATATGTATGTATGTATATTAGTTATGAGACAAAATAGACATGTATGTAACGTAAGTTTCACTTCTCCAGTGTGGCCCAGGCGCACTTACTTTTTTTATAAAATAATTAAAATTTAAGCAAAGTTTCAAGTACCGCTATTTCGAAAAGTGGAGCCAACAGGGTAAAACTGAGGACGCCATTGAATTGAGAAGGCTCCAATTCAGTAATACCAACTATCAGAACATTTGTCGAAAAAAGTTACTTTGATACCACTCTCGAAATATTCTGATTAAAAGAAGGAGCATCAGCGTTTTTACACACTTCTAGAGACAAATTTTTTGAAGCATTTTACAGGTATAAGTAATTTTATAATCAATAGCAGTTATATAGAAAGATTTAGATCGTTTCGACGTATTTTCCAAATGTGCCTTTTNGAACATTTGTCGAAAAAAGTTACTTTGATACCACTCTCGAAATATTCTGATTAAAAGAAGGAGCATCAGCGTTTTTACACACTTCTAGAGACAAATTTTTTGAAGCATTTTACAGGTATAAGTAATTTTATAATCAATAGCAGTTATATAGAAAGATTTAGATCGTTTCGACGTATTTTCCAAATGTGCCTTTTATTAAGGTGTTTTTAGAATAAAAATTACGCTCAAGATCGCAGAATATTTTATCTTTAAAAGTTCGTTTATTCTGAAAACACACCTCTTGCTAAGGTATTGAATTATTCGTAATTATTTGTAGAATACAATACATACTTAAAAAGTTCTTAAAATCAAATGCTTCAAAACCTATACGCGATAAACCAGAAATTTCGAAAATTGTGAAATGTAGAGTTACAGACTTTGAGCTACTTGCCATTTCGTTATTTTTTTAGGCACACTTTTCTTACCTACTACATATGAAGTGCACACACAAGTGCAAATGCACATTTAATTTCAAATCAGAATATGGTGTGCTTCAAAAGTTATGACATAATTAAGTGTGCCCCTCTTATAAATTACATAAAAAATTCACTTGTTTTCATTATTTTTATTTAATTTAAACACCTAAAATTCAAAAGTTATGCAGCAAATTCATGAATTTTTTTTTTTTAGCTTCAAGTATACGTCAATGAATTATATCCAAAAGCAACCAGCTGGATTTAGTTTACAACAGTGAAAATAAAGCTAAATAACACAAAGGTTACCTGTTTTTTAGATTTGCCCATATGTATACTATGGATGCTGAATTTTAGTCTAAAGGCTTATTTCCGCGCATGCGGATGTCAAGTATCTTTAAGAAACAGTTTATGTTATTTAGTTAGGGCGATACAACATCAGGTGGTTCCGTGCGCAGAAGTGGAAAACTTTTGACTGCCATTCACCTGGGAGTGGCCAGAAGCGATTCTTGTGCGTACGGTTCAAATCGCAGCTCACAACGTCCGGATATTTATATCCACGTATCCTCTGGGTAGCAACCAAACACCCGTTTGGGAGCGAGCTAAAGTGAGAAGGCGTAAAACTTCGCGTGCGCTGGGTTTGGGTCCCGCCACGTTAAAACCCCGCCCAATGAAAAGAAGCAAACAGCCTCGGATGAGACCCCCTTTTTCTGATGACGACCACGGCAAACGTATAAAGGACTATGATTTAAGGGTATGCACCTGGAATATCCGGACCCTTAATGGGGAAGGTGCCTCTGCCCGGCTGGTTGATGTCCTCGGGAAGACAAAGGCTGACATCACCGCCATCCAAGAAATGCGATGGACGGGGCAAGGTAAAGTAAGCGTGAAGCCTTGCGACGTCTACTACAGTTGCCACGTAAAGGAGCGCAAATTCGGTGTTGGATTCGTGGTAGGAGAGAGACTCCGTCGCCGAGTACTGGCGTTCACCCCGGTGGACGAACGTCTAGCCACAATCCGCATCAAAGCTAGATTCTTCAACATCTCGCTCATCTGCGCCCATGCCCCGACGGAAGAGAAGGATGAGGCGTCCAAGGATCTCTTCTATGAGCGCTTGGAACGTACATATGAGCGCTGCCCCCGACACGATGTCAAAATCGGGCTTGGCGATTTTAATGCCAAGGTGGGCAAGGAAGGGATCTTTGGCGCCACTGTCGGAAAATTCAGCCTCCACGACGAAACGTCCGATAACGGACTGAGGCTGATCGACTTCGCCGGGGCCCGAAATATGGTAATATGTAGTACTAGGTTCCAGCATAAGAACATCCACCAAGCTACATGGCTGTCTCCAGATCGAAAAACGAGAAACCAAATCGATCATGTTGTGATAGACGGAAGGCATGCTTCAAGCGTTTTGGACGTACGTACACTCCGAGGGCCAAACATCGACTCGGACCACTATCTTGTTGTAGCCAAGATACGCACCCGCCTCTGTGCAGCAAAAAATATGCGCCCAACAATGCAAGGAAAGCTTAACGTCGAAAAGCTGCAATCACAACAGACGGCCAATTTATTCGCCACTCGACTCACACACCTGCTCTCTGAGAGCACTCTTCAACAATCCGACGTACGCGAGCAGTGGAACCACATTTCCCGATCATTAAGTACCGCCGCCGAAGAAGTAGTTGGATTTCAGCGAGCCCGAAAGAACAACTGGTACGATGAGGAATGTCAAGAAGCCGCAGAGAAAAAAGATGCCGCCTACAGGGCCACGCTGCGATCGGGCGCAACGCGAGCCATGTGGGACCGTTATAGGGAACTGAAGAAGGAAGCGAGACGTATTTGCCGCAATAAGAAGAGAGAGGCCGAAATACGTGAGTGCGAAGAGCTTGAGATGCTGGCCGACAGGAAGAACGCCCGAAAATTCTACCAGAGGGTTAGGCGACTTACGGAAGGTTTCAAGACCGGGGCGAACTCCTGTAAGAACAACAATGGCGACCTAGTGACCGATGTCCAGAATATACTTAAATTGTGGAGGGAACACTTTTAT